GGGCTCCGGCGCGGTTCCAACCCGCCCCACGTCCCCGCCCCCAGCCACTGCCCCCGCCTTTACGCCCTTGCCCAACAGCTTAAAAACATATCCATAGATTTATATATCCTGGGCCACGTCGCAGCATGGCGATAGGGTGTAACGCTCCAGGAATGTTTGTTCCTGGAAACTCCCACCATGTCGCCACCGGGAAGCGGCTGCTTGGGGCGGCCTCCATTGGGGCCGGAGCCCCTGCAGCGCCTTCGTGGTTGCTTTTCCCAAGAGGAAACGTCCACAGAGCTGCAGAAAATCATTTCTCCCCAATTTACACCCATAGCAGCTCAGGCCATCTTGCACAGAGCTGCTACGAGCATTCCCACAGCCACTGGAATGGGGTTAAAACCTGAACTTTCCTGTTCTGCACAGCAGCTCTCAGGCCACAGCAGTGTCATTAGCTGGTGCATTGAGGGCGATAGCCAAGGGAGGAAAGACACGTGGTCCCAGCAAGGCCAGGGGAGGGATGGGGACAATTATTCTACAAAAGAAAAAAAAAATCATGCCCCCCTAACATGATTCCGGCTGGCAAATTGGTCAGGGAAGATGGGCCACAACAGACCACCTGGATTCCCAACAGTCCCTCCAAGGATCCTTGAGAAACAGGGCACCCTCAGGAAGGTGAGGACTAGGGAAGTGAGGGGAGGAAGCAGCATTTGGATTCGCAGGGAAGGATCTGGCCCTCTGTGCTGACTACCGGAGTCAAGCTGAGTGCAAAGCGGAGCAGGGAATAAGAAAGACGGTAACGGAGGTTGTGGATGAGAAGGGGCTCATAGCTGTAAAGAAGGTCTTGCAGGGGGACCTTCTGCTACTGAGTGACTGCAGGTAGAAATGCCGAGGGAGTTCATCGATGATATTTGTTAAATGATGGTGACAGAGAAAGAAATTGCGTAGCTCTGTTTATTGATGGACTTTGAGCTGCTTTACAGCACGGAAACAGCTCAGGGTTAAAGTAAATCTACAAAAAAAAAAAAAAAACTCGGGGCTCTGTAGTACCTGGCAGAAAAAAGAAAGGGGGGGGCAAAAAATAGTCAAAAGACAAATACCCAGAGCTGCAGGAAGGGAGCCCAGCAGGGCACCACTGCCCCCCGCTTCCCATGGGCCCCCGGCTCCCAGTGCAAGGGAATGGGAGCTGTGGAAAGGCTGCATGGGGAAAACAGCTCAGTACCACAGGGCTCCTCAACCCGGACAAGAAACCCTTTATAGGAACACAGGAGAAAGTAGAATAAAGACCAGTCCTTTATTTGCAACACAGGACCTGGGGGCATCCAGTGAGGTCAGAGGCTGAGAGGTTCGGATGCTGCAGGATGCCGTGCTGCAGGATGCTGCATGCATAAAAATTTACAGTGCTGTAAGGAACAGCTGGGCAAATGGAAGAAAAAAGTCCTCAAAGGACAATTAATATGCAGTCAGCACTTCCGGCTTCAGTAAATGGTGAAGAAGCTGAGGGAAAGTCAACGTAGTTGGTCAAGCCAGCTGTTTCCAACACAAGGGCTCTCTCCTTCTTCTCTCCTTGTTCTCTTGCCCAATGACTGCTCTCACACTTCCCTGGAACGTGTCAGGTCTCACTCTCCATGTTTAGCACCATGCCATAGCACCCTGAAATGGTCAGAGGAGGTGAAAGTGGGATTGGGAGGGGATGAAGGAAGGGGTGGGACCGGTCCTTCCAGCAGCTGCAGGTTGCCTCATGGCCTAGCCAGCTCTCCCAGTACAGCCTTGCAGAGTACAAAGTCCTCTGAAGCAGGCTGATGATACGTACTCTTAGTTCACCTACCCCTCCCAGCCTTTTGTTTCTGCTCTCCAGCATATGGAGTGATCCAGGTTTGTTTGAAGATTGGTGATTAAAAAAACAAAAAGAGTATTTTGCACTGAATTCTGTGAAGACCAGGCTGTATAACTTGATCAACAACAGAAAAAAAAAAAAAACTCAATGTACTAACTCTATCTAGTAGTCTATTAATCCGTAAGACAAACACCTAATTGCTTCCTTGTCCCTGTTGATTTCAGAGCTCCTATTGTCCCTCCACTTTCACAAAGTTCAATCATCCTGTGAAGCTGCAGCCTCCCCCAAGGACTACAAGATCAAAATGCAGGCAAGAACTGAGAAAACAGCAGTTACAGAAACCATTTAGACAGCTTGGCCACCACCTGGTACCGGGTCTCCGTCTGCAGGAAACGACAGACTTGGCAGAGGCGGACGGCCCACCCGGACACGACCACAGGCTTCAGCCATTGCCGCCACTCAAAGTAGCGCTTGTATCTCTCGGCATCCTCGCTCAGCTCCAGCAGGTACCGCGCCAGATCCCGGGCGCTGGCAAAGTCGTCAACGTGGATGAAGGCATCAGGGGGCAGAAAGCGCTCATAGTTGTCCCGCGGCGGCCCGAGGACGACGGGGACAGTGCCAGCAGACAAGGCGTTCCTCCAGACCTTCTCGGTGATGTAGTCTTCATGCTGTGAGTTCTCAAAGGCCAAGTAGAACTTGTACTGGGCCAAGGTGGGCAGGAGCCGGTCTCGGGCCAGGGGCTGGTGATTCCGCCCATAAATGTCCACGGTGATGTGTCGCTTTAGCTCCTGGTAGTACTTCACTCGGCGCGAACGTGTCTGCCAGTTGCTGACCACCCAGGCCACCAGCTTGGACTTGGGTGGGATGCTAAAGGGCTGGGGCTGCTCGAGGACCTGCAGCTCTCCATAGGGGCTGAAGATATCTGAGTCCCTCCGGTAGGACATGGTGAGGTTGAAGAGGTTGTTCATGGCGCGTAGGTTGGGTGAGTGACTGGGTGACTCCAGGTTGAACCAGATCCAGCGCTGCGCTGGCACCCGCGCGCCTGGCAGCAGCCGCCTGGGCCTGGAACTGACATCCTTGTGGTGCACGATAATGGCGTCAGCCTCCATGTGCCAGCTGTGGTCGGTGGTGAAGCGGCAGTTGGGGATGCCGTAGATGACCGAGCAGTTCTGCGGCCTGAAGCGCTGCCCGCGGGG